GAGAGGGCGCAGTACCTGGACCAGGAGCAGGGGACAGAGGGAAGAGAGAGGGTGGAGTGTAGGCCACCTGGGAGCAGGCCGCCTGTGGCTGGGCGGCACGGAGGAGGTGGGCTGGCGCCTGCGTGGACAAGCGTGGGAGGCTGGGGACAGGCACACTGGCGCTCTGCTGTCTCCTCCCCGGTGTCTGAGTCCTTGTCTGTAAGATGAGGGAGCTGCACGGGACCCCACCAGGCCGCCGAGGAGGGCTCAGGCCCCAGCGCCTACCCTGCTGCCCCAAACTCCAGGACCGCGGCAGGTAGCACGGCCTGGCCCCACTTTGGTGAAACATCCAGCCGGCCTCGTGCACAGCCGTGTCCACAGCCGCCGAGCGCCCTTTCTGCGCGGGCACCTCACCAGAATTAATGTTCATTTGATTTTACTACAAATCACGCCTCACGCAGTTTCCCCATTATGGGCGGGGGACGGCTCCTCCGCGAGGCTGGAGGTGGCTTAGTGGATGCGCCTCCTCTGGAATCGCTAATAGGAGGGGAGGGAGCCGAGAGCTCGCGACCACGTGGCACTGGCACGTGGCGGATGGCCACGTTGAAGGCAAAAAGAGATTCACTCTTTTAAAGACGGAAGTGTGTCCTCCCTTCCCTACTCCTCGCTCCACGTGTGTCGACGCGGCGTGCGGAAAGCAGACCCGGCGCCGGCCGCGGGCGCTCACAGCCCAACACGGGGGACAGGCGGATCAGAGAGGCAGGTGTCACACCGTGGCCAGCAGATGTGCGGGTTTTTCCCAGAGGAGGTGGCGCCTGGCCAGGATCCCAGGGCCCCAAGGTCTCGGGGCGGGAAGCGAGCGCACACTGGGTAGGGACTGGCACGTGCAAAGGCCCTGCGGGAGTGAGCCGGGGCGGCGGGGGGACGGGGTGAGCACGGCACGAGGGTGCGTGGACCCCGGAAAGACTGTGCTTGTCATCAGACGCACGAGGGGCAGCCCCACGTCTCTACGGAGGGGTAGGACAGCCATCACTTCGCAGACGTCTCTTCCACTCGCCGGGGCGCTGGGCCTGGGGCTGCCCTGGCGTCCTGGGCGCGAGGACGGAGCTCGTGGAAGGACCAGCAGGGAGGGGCTGCCGGCTGCTTCTTCCTTTCCACCGGCAGGGAAACCACAGGCCCCGGTTACAAACCCGACAAAACCAGGATTGTGACTCACCAAGCCCGGTACCCCGGAATGGAATAAACCAATTTGCTTAAAACTCCGACTGATCCTGTACATTTATCTTTTTTTAATATCCAAAGCTTAAAAGAAACCAAAGTTTATATGAAAAAAAAAAAAAAACAAAAACACAACACCACCTAAAAACCTAGCATGCTGGATGGAAGCAGACTCATGCGTGTCTGTTTTCCAAAAGAATTTAATTAAAACACAAAGCCCACAAACAGAACCCCAGGACTTTCCGCGCCAGCCCACCGCTGCCACTCACCGCCGGGGGCCTGGAACCTGTCACCCTGAGGCTCCCTCCCCCGGCCCAGCCCCCCACCGCAGGGTGCACAAAGCCAGGCTCGTGGTGGGGCCCCCACGGTGCCGGGACGGGCCCTGTGGGACCACCCCTCCCACGGTGATGTCTGAGACACGGCTGAGCGATCCAAGACACTGTCCTGTCCTTGTCCCAGTCTGCAGATGTGGAAAGTGAGGCTCAGAGAGTCCAGGATTCACCTGCAGCTCTTACCTCGCAGTTATCAGAGTGGACCTTGACCCTGGACTCTGCTGCTAAAACCCCAAAGACGTGCAAGGCCTGAGCCCCTCTCTGCTCTCTCTCTGCAAACACTAGGTCCGTACAGACCAGGAGACACACGATTCCCTTTATCTCAGTGGTTTTGGACGGGGGGCAACCCCAGGGGAGCATTTGGCCTTATCTGGAGGCATTTTTGGTTGTCACCACTGGGTGAGCACGGAGCAAGTCCTGGGGTGCCACTGGCATCCAGCGGGTGGAGGCCGGGATGCTGCTAACGTCCTGCCACGCACAGGATGACCACCCGGCGGAGAGCCGCCCGGCCCCGAATGTCCAGAGTGCCGAGGCTGAGAAACTCGATTTAGGTAAAATGGTGTTGGTGAAATATGTGCGTGGTCACGCACAGAGAAAGAGCTAGAAAGATGAGCACCAAGATGTCTGCATTTGTTTATCTCTTTGGTGAAAGGATTTGGGTAATTTTTTATTTTTCTTTCTTATGTTTTTCTGTACTGTTTGAATTTTTAAAGCAACAATGTACATGTATCATTTTTATAATCAGGGGGGGAAAAGAGCTGTTTTCATTTTGCGAAAATAAAAAAGGGCTTCAGGACTTATCGATTCTGATCCAGCCCCCTCACTAACTAGCTGTCAGGAACAGCTCTCCGGGAAATATGTCTATCTGGAAAGTGAGAGGAGCAGTCCTTCCTGCATTATATTATAGGAATGTAAAGTAACATTGTCCTGGAAAAGCTCTCTGGGCTCAGAGGAGAAAAATTGTTGAGAAGCCTGAGATATTGCTTCTCTCATGCATTTCCCCTCCGAGACGGCGCGCACGGTTCCGAGGCACAGAAATGGGGGGGACCCGGCCTTGCTGAGGGCTCCCCTTGCCAGAGACCCGGGCCAGAGACCAGGAAACGGTGGGCCCTGCGTACCTCCTGCCCTCAGGGTGTGCAGAATGGGCCCTTCTACCTCGCAAAGGGAGCCTTGAGTCCGGGGGTGATTTTGATTTCATCTCAAGGCTGGGTCGGGGCTGGCTATCTCGGCCAGGGCACCACTGACATTCGAGACGGCATCATCATTCGGGGCCATCCTGGGCATGGCAGGATGTTTAGCAGCATCCCTGGCCTCCGCCTGACAGATGCTCATGGCACCCCTGCCACCAGGTCCTGACAACCAGAAACGTCCACAGACAAGGGCAAAGGACCGGTGGGGGGCGGGGGCGGGTCCCGGCGCCTTGGCTGGCGCAGGCCCACGGGCTCCCGCCCGCTCCGTGCTTTAACGAGTGGACTTCGTAGAGATGACGCAGACGGCTGAATCAGGGGACTGCTTTGCTGCATTTCTGAGTCACTGCCCATGTTTTCCATCTTCAGAAATTTTCCATTTGCGTCTAGCCCCTCTGAGACAGCCCCGCACCCAGACAGGACCCCCTGTGGCCTGCCTGCGAGCCCCCAATCCTCCCGGCAGGTCCCGCTAGACTGCGCGAGGCGTGGGGCGGGGGCTCCCGTGTTCCCACCAAGACTGACATGGCAGGCAGGCTGTGTTCCAGCTGTCCGGGTGACAGGAACCACAGAAACGAGCCCCAGAAGGCCGAAAAATAAATCCCTCGTTTCCTGGGAGTGCATAAAGCCGCACACTAATTGTGAGAAGGCCCGGGGAGAGGCCACCGCGGCCACTTTTCACACCAGCGCCTAACTCGGAACGAGAAGATGAACTTTAAATTGAGTAAGATAAAACCAGTTTGGGAAATGCAATATCTCACCTCCCTGCCTGTCTTTTTAAAAAATCCATAATTCATAGAGAAGCTGGTCAGGGGGTGTGCAGCTCAAATTGAATTATCCCTTTTTTTTTTTTTCTTTTCCTAAAGACTGAGGCTGGGAGACGCATTTTCTTGACATGGAGAAAATAAAAACAGCACTTTGAAGCTCACGTCCCCTGGTCTTGACGTCCTTGCCACAGACCCTCCGTCCCAGAGGGACGGGGACATTATAAACACGTGCTAAACAACATTATAAAGCCCATGCTAATTAAAGGGCTAGGAATTTCTCCGCCGCTGCTCTCACACCGGCCTGGATGATGAATGCGCAGGGTTATTCATCGCGGAGCCGTTGGTAATAGCAACAGACTGGAAGCAACGTAGGGACCATCGTAGGGGACGGTTAAATAAGCCCATTTCTCCACTGCGGCGACATTACCACGCAGCACTGAAGAAAGAACCAGAAGGCCCATTGTCTAGCGATCAGAGACACGCCACTGCTTTGTTGAAGCAAGGCGCAGAACGGTGTTTATAGCGTGCGACCGTCCGTGTTTGTAGAAAAAGGAGAAAATATACATGTGTGCTCCGGCGCGTGTCCACCTGGCGTGTCCCTCTGGGGCTCCCGATGGGTGGGGGCGGCGGGGAGAGGCTGCACGGACACCCCCCTGCTCTCCCCTCGGCATGTTTTGATTTTTGAATCTGAAATGAGAGCTCGGAAATAGATGTGCAAAATTAAATCTCTTCAAAACAAAACAAAACAAAACCCAAACCACATCATGCTAATTTGTTATGAAAAATACATCGTGGGAGAGGGATGATGAATTCCTGCAAAACAAACTCAAGTGTGTCACCTTGGGGAAATGGGGCCTCTTGCCGCATCTCGGAATTTTTCATTTCGCAGTTGTTTCCTAAGGATGCTTCACTTTGCTAATACTCTGTGAAGCTCTGGCGTCTTCAAAATAACAACACCGCGTCATCACCCTCTAGTCACCAGCCAGAGCCCGCTCCGGAGTTCTTGTTCCCCAAAGCACAGCGGAGGTGGGTGACTGTGATGCTAATAAGCACGTGTTTATTATCACGGATATTCGTTACCTGGTCTTATGACAAAGATGTTTCCACCGGCTGTGCTGGTGTAATATTTCCTTCTCAGATCATGTATTTAAATAATGAGAGAGGCAAAACAATGTTTGCAAAACCATAGTGGGTCTAGGCCTGTACATGTGCAAAAACCCCAGAACTGGGACCCCGGTGCCTAGAATGTGGGGTACGTGGCTCCGCACACTTCACCCTGCCTGTCTTCTCCACAAAGCCGCTTCACCGTCAGCGCCCAGGCCTCTTGGACTCCCCGACCAATACAATGAAGACAAGAGAAAAAAAATAGGCATTTGCAGTGAGCTTTCAATCAGCCTGCCAAGCAGCGAGTCCAGGGGCGCAGTAATCCAGTGGGTGGGGAGAGGGTCTCCCCAAAGCACACCTGGGGTCTGGCCACCTCCGAACAGCCACAATGACCTTCCCTTTCTGTTCCGTTTTAGGGTGTGTTGTCCGTTCTTTGGTGTCAGCTGTGGCATGAGTGTTGCAGACCCCATACTGGTGAGGGAGGCCTCAGCGAGCTCTAGGATTTGGCTGGATCAACACTCGCCTGCAGCCCTTTCTCAGAGATACTGCCAACAGACTGCACCGGAGATGGGTGAGGGGTAGAGCCCCCCTCGGAAGAGCTGTGGCACAAGAACTGGCTAACAGATGAGACGGTGATGCCGCTTTATGGGATAGTTAAACGCACACGATCTCGAAACTATGAATACACTGCAGAAGCACACAGGATTCTAGAGGAGCAGGCATGGTGGTTTCTCCTAACCGGGGCATAGAGGATTCCAGGGCTGTGGGCGATATTTTCAGAGTCGCTGTCCCTAAGAAGCAGCACTCACGGCCCCCAGCTCTCCCGTTTGCCTTCAAAATACCCGAAGAGGCCACTCGTTTGGAGCTGGGCACAGCGTGGGCTTCCTCGCATGAGCTCTTTGATAAACATCTCCCCGTTTGTCAATTTCTCTCTGCCAGAAAGCCTGGTTAATCCTTCCTCCCAACTTTCATTTAGGCTTTGGACCTGGAGCTTGTGGAAGGCAAATTCCTGGGGAACCAGCGTTTCTGGCAGACTTGTAGAAGAAGTTTCCAGAAGGTCAGGAGTCAGCCATCTTTTTCAGGTTTTAAGACAACCCTGAAAACCGGTGCGGGAGCCTCCTAGAGGTGGAACAGACACGGCAGACTCTGTTGCAATAAACCCCCGCAGCCGCCCCGTGGGAAACAGAGAAGAACCCAGCTTCCCACGAATGCTGACTGCGCGGACTGCCCACGCGTGGTCTCAGGGCCCTTGCCCGGCGGGGTGGAGCAGCACCCAGCTTCTGAAGCCCAACCGGGTCGCCCCAAGAAGGCGTTCTAGAAAAGCAACCTCCTGGGTCTCCTGGTGCCGTCGGTTTCCCCCCTCACCCTGGGCGGCACCTGCTCCTGCAGATGTGCTCGCAGCTGGCCGTACCCTGCCTGCGGCAGGAGCATTGGCCCCGTGTGCCCCTTCCCTGTGCTGGGGGCCCTTACCCTGCTTTTTTGCCTTTTTTTTTTTACTGCGGCAGCACTTATGCCTGTTGCACCTTCGTGGCCTTTGTTCATCGTCTCTTTCTTGGCCTGCAGTGGATGAAGTCGAACTAAATTAAATTGCTGCTCTTGCAGGTCAGAGACAGACAGATATCGGCAATTTCGTGTGTTTCCACGGAATCCAGTCAATGGGTCTGGGGCTTGCTTTGGTTCCCTGCTGACGCGCAGTAACTAGAACAGAGCCCGCCCCGAGCCAGCCCTCCGTCCACGCTGCGGGATGCGTGGAGAAAAGCAGCCATTTAGGGGCTTGGGACGCCGACCCCGGCGGTCAGCCCTGGGGCCAGAACACAGAGACCCTAAGGGTACTCCAGCTGCCAGAACACAGAGACCCTAAAGGCACTCCAGCTGCCCGTAGGGCCGGCCGCTCCCTCTTCCCACGCGAGCCTCCCACGCCTGAGCCGGGCACAGGAAGACGCCTCTCCAGGCCCTGCCGTCGCCTCGCTAATGGTGGATGTTCTGGCGGCAGAGGAGGCGGGTGGGGAGGGCCTGGGACATCGCGTCCGGCGCCCCCGCCCGCTCGCGTGGGAGCCCACTGCCGCCATCCTCGCAGGAGGACGTGGGCGAGCAGCGCAGGGCCGGGGACGGGTTCGGGGGCGCGGGGCCCGGTGGGCTGTGTGTGCCCGAAGACGACCATTTTATACACCAGAGTCTAATGAAGGTCGCAGGTGAATGTGAATGGAACTAATGAGAAAATAATTATCCGAGCCGGGAAGGCATGGAGGCTCTGGGAGCTGCGATTTCTGTGCTAATGGAAATGTGACGAGGGGAGGGGTGCCGCCCGCAACTTGTGCTTTCCTGAACTTGAAGTTTCTGCCTGGGAAAGTTCTGGGGTGGGGGAAACGGGAGGCCGGCCGCCGGAATTCACGGAATTCATCTCAGCTTGCCTGGGAACCCGCCCCCTCCCCTTCCTTTGTCCTGAGTGGGGCAGACGGAGACACTGCTAACCTGGGGGTGTCCCCGGTGCCCCCCGGGAGTCGGTGCTTCCCACTAATGGCGCGATGTGGGATCAGGCCAGGTGACCCCTCCTCCCAGGACACCCCCCTCGGCCGTTGCAAAAGGCTTGGTGGGGGTGGGGCGCTGTCCAGAGAGGACAGGCAGGAGGCAGCCAGGGCCGTGGCCACGAAGGGGAGGTCTGGGCTCCTCTTCCGAGTTCTGCTGCCAGGGCCCTCGATCTCAGGTAAGGCCGCCCGATTGTTTCGGGAGAGGAAGGGACATTCCACCAATCGAACCGACATCTGTGCCCAGAGATTTCAATAGCTCCAGCCTTCTTGGCGGGGTTCACCTATTGTTTCTTGCAACCTGGCTGCTGGGTAGATAAGGCTGCAGCCCTGAAACTCCACCCGCCCAGCCCCCAGCCCTCCCCCGTCTCCTGGACGCCAGGACAATTATGGAATATAAGAACTATACCCTGGTGACACTCCCAGCGTTTGTAGGGGCCAGCAGAGTAACAAAGATTGCAAATTCAGGTCATTTCCGCAGACCCCGCGCACATTTCTTAGGGACCTAAATTGCGACTGAGATTGTGTTGCGAGAGAGGAACATCCATCTTCCCCTTGCTCCTCTTAGCAAGGCCTCAGGTTCAGCCTTGGGTCTACAAATTGCCCTTGTAAGGCTGCAGATACGTTAACTTGCCTAATTTAGCATTTTCTTCGCCCTGGGCTGGGGGGGGAGGGGCAGAAGCGGAGCTTGGCCACTCTGTTCCATGGACCTTGGAAAACACAGATTCCCAGGCCCTGCCCCAGACCTGCTGGTTTTGAGTCCCCAGGCATAAGGTTGGGCACTTGTGTTCTGACAACAGCGCCACCTCCCCCAAGCCAGCCTCGGAGACACTGGCCTGTGGATAATTCCAAGATGGATTCTTCATTCAAAAGGATTCAGGAGAGATTTGAGGTTGAGTGGTGAGCAACAGAGTTGATTTGCATGGGGTGGGGAGCGAGAAGTTTTCCACTACCTTGAGACTTGCTCTCCAAACGACTTGAGGCTGTAATTATACATGCAAAGTGAAGCTAAAATTTCAGAGAAGTATCTGGAGAATTCAAGTCAGAAGAAGCATGTTCCTCTGAAATACCTAGATAATGAAAGAAAAAATATATTCATTGCATAAATTGCTCATTAATTCACTCCTCTGTGGGGGCACACAGCTTAAAAGCAGACGCTTTGATTAATCCAAGCTATATTAAATCCTCAAGATGCTTCCCCGCCCCCATGCCTGGATATTCATATTTCTTTCCTCTAAAAAATCATAAATAAAGTTGTCCTTTTGCAAAAATGCATTTCAGATTTGGCTTAGCAGAATGAGCCCTATAGTTGTTAGAATCAATTTGGGTGCACTTTTTCATTTTTAAGTACACATTTTGAAATCAGATGCATTCTTTCCAATTCACTGGAAATGCTAATTTTTTTTTCCATCACATTTCAAAGTTACATTATGTGTGGCTAAGTGAATAACACCCAGCACAATAGCACTTCAGAAAGACTGAGGACGGACAGGATCCCAATCAGAAGGAAAGCTAGGGAAATGGTTAATTTCAATGGTAGGCAACTGATTGGGAAAAAGAATCTATAGAATTATTTATTTCCTTTAAAAAAAAAAAGAAACCCAAAAAATTCAAAAATGACTCGGAAAGAACAAGAGTCTAATCCTGGCAGGTTGATTTCTTAAGGCCTCTTAATGAAATCTCGGCAGATCTGCTCCCCGCCCGCCGGCTGTGGGGCTGTGGGGTCCTGGGGTTCGCTGTCTTTTTCTCCGTGAGCCGCTTCACACAGGTACAGAGGATGATCAGTCGTCTACCTGGCTTTTCTGCTGCTGACTTGCCCGTCCCCACACCCGAGGCGAGCTCTCTGGGAGGCAGGCCAGCCCGTGTGGGAAGCCTCTTACAGGTAAACAGAGTCATACGGGGACTGTGGTGCCATCCTCTCGCCCTTTTACAAAATAGCCTTTTTGTGGCTTGATGCAGCAAGAGTCCCTGGGCACCTTCCTGGGGACCAGTGTTAAGTACTTTGTGACGCTGTGATGCCTGTTTCACAAAGCTCGGGAGGAGGGCAGAGACATCCTGTATAAAAAAACAAAAAGCCCTTTGTGGTGAGTAAGGGAGGTAGATAAACACAATCTATTTTGGGGCGCTTGGGGATACTCCTTTCCATTCAATTAACACGATGATAGATTATTCCGATCACTGGTGGAATTGGTCCCCAGATTCGGGATTTTAGAGACCAGTAAAAATAATCATAATAATTAGCAGAGGAGATGGCAACTTTTTATTTTTATCAAGAAGGAGCATAAAAAAGCAACCACCTTCTAAGGCCACGTCTTATAAAAACAAGGGCATTTGCACTCCCTAAGAGCAAACGTAAGCAAGAAGGGCTGGCTCTCAGGAGTGATGGGATAATGTATTAACAGGGCCAAGATTTACCGAGGGCCTGCTCTGAGCCAGCCGCATTCTAGGCACTCAAGATCGGTCCCCTCAAGGTCCTGCTTCAAGGACAGCCCTCCACACTGAGCGTGCAGCCGCAGGAGAGGCTGGCTCTCTTGCCCCCTTCCCCGGGCAGTGGGCCTCGCCTTGGGGAGGCCTTGCGATGCTGGACAGCACTCTGCCGACCAAGCGCGTGTTACTCCCTGTGTAGAGAAGTCGCACACACTCTCGGGCGGTGAATGACATGACCCTGCGCAAATGCAGAGTGGCTTCCGCTACCAAGCCTGACGACGGGCAGCGGGCGCTACCAAAGCAAACCAGCGGCGAATCAGCACGCGTTCAAGGAGAGGCGAGGCAGAGGGGCAAACCGGCCTCTCCGTCTCTCCTCCTGACGCCCTAAGAAAGCCCTCGCCCAGCTGGGAGCCCTGTCCCCAATGTGGGCACCAGAAACCCCTCCCACAACTGCCTGGCCACCCCCCTGCCCCCCCACCATTCGCTCCACCTCCTCTTTAGGAAGCACCAAGCCTTCCCATGAGCTGTCAGCGCTCCAGCCTCCTCTTCCTCCTGCTGCACGGGGCGCTGCAGATGGCCTTTCGCTTTGGGCTGCCCAGTGGTGATGGCCACTCTGACCGTCAGCCCCGGCAGCTCTGGTGCACAGGCCAGCGAGCCAGAGCCTGACCTAGACTTAATCATCAGAGAGGGCCATGGTGGTTCCAGCCCTCTGCCCTCCATGACAACTGTCTTCTTAGAACACACCTCCCACTCCCTCCTTTGCATTTCATCAAACTCACTTGAAAGGAGGCACCTGAGCTGTGGCACAAGGCCAGTGGGTGGTGCGGGGGGGGATCAAGGGGCCAGGATTTTGTAGAAAGATGTTCTAGACCAGGTGTGGGCAAGCTACAGCTCTTAGGCCAAATCCAGCCTGCCAGCTAAGAAAGAAAATGAAATAGAATATTTTTCTTAATATACGGAAATTATTTATGGGAGCCCGTAATGTTTCCTTGGCACTCGGCCATGTGCGTTTGTGTATGTCTCATCTACAGCTGCTCTTGCGGAAAATATTTACTATCTAGTGCTTTGCAGAAAACATATTCTGCAAAATGTAGCCCTGGTCTAAATCTGAGGATAGGACCTTCAGAGGGCTCCACCAATTCCCCGGGGTTGTTTAGCAAGCTGGCCGGCCACTCTTCCGAAAGAAGAGCCACAGTTCCATCCAGCTCTGGAAGGGGCCCCAGCCCCCGAAACGCAGGGCTGCCAGAGTCGGCAAATACGGATACAGGACGCTGGGCTGCGTTGGAATTTCCGACAAACGACAGATAATTTTTTAGTACAAGTGTGTCCTATGGAATATATGGGACATACGTATACTAGAAAAACTGTCTGTCCTTTGTCTGAAAATCCAGTGTAACTAGGTATCTTGTAATTTATCTGAAACTCAACCGGAAGAGTAAGAAGCACCCACTCCTCAGTGTCCCCTTCTCACGCCCCCACCCACGCTGCTGGGCCGACCCCACCCACGCTCCTGCGCTGACCGCCTTCAGAGGGGCGCTGGGCCCCGTCCCACCAGTGCTTCTCTCGCCATGTAGTGTCTGGCCAGGAAACTGAAGTTACATTTATTTCCTCTAAATTGACTTTTATATATTTTTATGGCATAAGCTCTTTTCTGATTAGAATGAAATCCAAGCTTATTATGAAAAATTAAATTCTGTGCAAAATGGACATTAAGTGGAGGGGAAGTATTCCGTGACTGAGCCACCGCCCGACCTGACTCCCAGCGATCGCAGGGGACGGATTCTCCCAGCGTCTCCCACGGCTGCGCTGGCTGGGGAGGTCTTTCTAGGTACGCTTGTTTTGCCATCTTCTCCACGTGATGACACGTCACAGACCTCGCTCCGCATGGGAACCTGAGGTTACCGCCTGCATTTTGACGCTGTGCACTACTCGGGGCACCGGGGCGCTGCCGTGACCCGCAGGTGGACGGGCGAGCCTCTCCCGCACCACTGAGTCTCCGGACCTCTTACTCTGAGCAGATGAATTAAGGAAGCCTAGTATTGCTTTAGCTGTTTTTCTTTTATCAAAGTAATATGTGAACATCATGTAAAACCCAAAGAGTTCTGTACCCTCAGTATGAAAAATAAAGTCCTTGGCCCCACCCTTGCGTCCCTCTCCCCAGAGGCTCCTAACTCTCTGCTCTCCGGCTGTTTCTTCTGATATTTGCATGCTTCCGTGGCTGTTTCTTGATTTATCCGTCTTAGACATCACCCACCGAACCCCTTCTGGGAATGAGGCATCCGCTGCCTTAGAGAAGAGACTCCCTGCAGGGCTCCCCCCTCTTTGTTCACAGAGCTAGGTTGAGAGGCTGCTCCAGCTGCCCCAGCCTCAGGGGTTCCCCTTCCAATTCTATCCTGCTGCCCTCCTGCCGTCTTGCTCACAGAAGGCACTCTTTTAATGTTTTTGCTTGTTTATTTGTTTTTTTATTACTGACTTGTTTGAGTTCCTTGTAGATTGTGGATATTAGTCCTTTGTTGGATACATAGCTTGTAAATATTATCTCCCATTCTGTAGGCTGCCTATTTACTCTTTTGATTATTTCCTTTACTGGGCAGAGCTTTTTAGTTTAATTAAATCCCATTTGTCTATTTTTGTTTTTATTGCATTTGATTTTGCGGTCTTAGTCATAAGATCTTTCCCTAGGCCAATGTCCAGAAGAGTCGTTCCTAGGTTTTCTCCTAGAATGTTTGTGGTTTCAGGCCTTACATTTAAGTCTATATGGTGAGAAACGGAGCCACTTTCATTCTTCTGCATATGGCTATTTAATTTTCCCAGCATTGTTCATTCAGTAGTGTGTGTTTTTATCTGCTTTGTCGAAAATCAGTTGGTTGTAGGTATATGGTTTTATTTGGGGATTCTCTGTTCTGTTCTATTGATCTATGTGTTTGCTTTTATGCCAATACCATGCTGTTTTGGTTACTACAGGCTTGTAGTACAATTTGAAGACAGGTAATGTGATACCAATTTTGTTCTCTTTGCTTAGGATTGCTTTGGCTATTCAGGCTTTTTAAATCCTAAAGCTTTTAGAATTTTTTTAGAGAAACAATTCTAAAATTCATATGGAATCAAAAAAAACCTGAATAGCCAAAGCAATCCTAAGCAAAGAGAACAAAATTGGTATCACATTACCTGTCTTCAAATTGTACTAAAAGCCTGTAGTAACCAAAACAGCATGGTATTGGCATGAAAAGAAACATTGGCTTTTTGATAGAAACTGCATTAAATCTGAAGATTGCTTTGGGCAGTATGGTCATTTTAACAACATCGATTCTTCCAATGCATGAGAATGGGATGTTTTTCCATTCATTGTGTTGTCGACAATTTCTTTCATCAGTGATTTGTAGTTCTCCTTGTAGAGATCATTCACCTGCTTGGTTAAATATATTCCTAGGTATTTTAAATTTTTTTTGCAGCTGTTGTAAAGGGGATTGAGTCCTTGATGCTTCACTGCGCGGCCACCTGGCATGTCCCGAGTTTAGAATCCTGCAACCCTCAGCAACTGACCCAGCCTGGGATGTTCTGCTTGAACACTCCCACGGTTACCTGGACCCGAGATGGGCCCCCAGGGAAGGAGAGCAAGGGGGCAGGGAGCCAGCGACAGGCTTGGGTGACTTTATGACTTCCAGAGGCCCAGCCTGGGCTGGAGGGATGACAATCTGGTTTGAGTTTTCAAGTACACAGACTCTTGTCCCCCATCTAGCCCCACAGGACCAGGGCACCTCAGAGCATGCTGTGTGACCTTCTGTGAGTTGCTCCCTCTTTCTGGACTCCCGTTTTCCCCTTGCAAGGCTGAGGCTGGGCTGGCTCCTAGCAGATGCTCATTATTTGTTGATGAGTGAGCTGCAGATTTAGATCCATCTCTGTTTATTAGACTGGGATTCTTTCTTTTCTTACTTCTGACTTTTCCCGGGTTTATGTGAGTGACACTAAGGACAATGTAACCAGCTGTTGCTCAAAGGACAGCATTATGAAGGCTGAGGCAGCTCAGGGAATGGGTGAAGACTTTGTCCCAATAGTCACTGCCTTCATTTGGTTATGAAAACTATCATGGAAGCTTTTCTTTCCCCTGTGGGGAAGGTCCTTGTGACCCTTCTCCTGGGTGGCCCAAGAGGGTCTCCACAGTGGGGCCAGCTTGGCTGCCTGATGGGGTAGACAGACTCCAGAAAGGCCAGGTAGGGTGCAGGGGTTGCAGGGTGGCACCAGGCACCCTGGGGGACACTAGAGGGAAAAGCCAGTGACTTCAGGGAAGCCCAACCAAACACTGGAGGGGAATTCTCGAGCCTGGGGTAAGTTGACCCCAGAAAGCTGGGAGCATTTATTCACCTTACCACCCCTACAGAGGAAAGCAAGTTGAGGCACGATTTTTTACTAAAGTGTGAATGACTAATATTTGCTTACTAGATTTCTCTTCTTATGGTGCTAACAGATTGGGTGTGATGGTTTACAGTGGGAAAAGAGAAGATTAAGGAGATTTGATAGTTGCCTTAGAATATTTGAAAGGCTGTTGTATGGCCAAGGCAGCCAACTTATCTTCATGTAGCTCAGGGAACAAAAGGAGGGTAGGAGGATATAAGTTACAAAGAGGCATGTTCAGATTAATGTATGAAAGCATTGGAGAAAATTATAGCTGCTCACCAGTGAAGCCCTAGGTCACGCTGAGCATCTGACCCATGCAAAACCCGGGCTAGGCACTCTGGTCCATTTTCTTATGACATTCTCAGAAAACGCTGGGAGGTTTTGCCTGCTCCCGTGTACAGCGAGGCTTGTGGGTCCACTGTGCTGATAGAGGCCAGTGTGCCTGAGGAGTGGATGTCTCCTTTTACTTAAAGTCAAAATTTAAATTTACTTATTTACTGGAAAACCTCAAAGTTTGTTTGGAACAACTTGAATGTGCGAATCTATGCCTTCCACTTTAAATATCATAAAATCTGAATACAGA